AGCCACTGAAAAATGGCAAAATGCAGAGACCACTCTGTGGGATAAATGCGACCCAGTCAGGAAAGAATTGGCTATGAGACTGAATGTACCCAATACATGACATGTCATCAAATGAATGTGATGTGTGTGGGTTCAATAAAGATCCATAGTGCAAAAACACAGGGATCTGGTGCCACCTTGGTGATTGACATAAGCAACCACAGTAGAATTGTCGGAATGGATCATAACCAGCTGGCAAGAAAAAAAAAAGTGATCCAAAGCCCACTGAACAGCCAGGAGTTCGAGAACATTAATTTGAAGAAAACTCTCCTCCACAGACTAACAACCCCAAACCTCCTGGTGATCCACCCAGGCACTCCAACCCTGAAGGGATGCATCCATGAACAGATGTATATCTGGTCATGTAGGAGAAAGTGGGACCCCCACTGACATGTGGGCCCTGTTCTACCATGAATGGAGATCATCTACAAGAGATGAGAGAAGGGATTGTGAAGGACCCATTGAAGAAACCGCATATGGGTCATGTTCAGGTATATGAGAAGGGACATGGAGGGCCACATCCCCAAAAGTGATAGAACCTCATGAGCTGTAAGTGAGGGAACAGACAGGGCTTTCTAAATAGCCCATTCCATAGAATGGAGCTGGAGAGGAGAAAGTTGGGCCTGACTGAGATGGGTGTTGAAGAAAACATCCAAATGAATAAGATATTGGATAAGGTAAAGAAAAGACTTCTCCAATTTGACCAACCAGCCACCTGTATGGTTTTGGCCAGGAGCTGACGAATGTGACAGGCCAATTCTCATTCAGAATAAGCAAGAAGAAACCAGTCATCCATATAAACATGGAAGCACAACCCCATGGCATATTGAGCAAAGGAGTGGACCACACAACAAAACACGTGCTGAGACTAGGACAAAAGGTAAGGCAAGAAACTGGTACACAACCCCCCATTGAACAAATCAAAGATATGGATGGGAATGCTCTGCCACAGAAATGTGTAGGTAAGTAGTGGAAATGCCCACCTTGGTCATCCAAAGACCTGGAGAAAATACCCACTCAAGAGAAAGGTATGCCCCCATGTTAAAGTGAGGAGTGTGAACATATTGATTGAGAAGGGATAAACTGATGATAGGATGCCAGTTCCCAGTCTTCTTGGGAACCACAAACAGGCAGGAGTAAAACCCCCATGAACCTGGTGGAGCTGGTTTGATAGCTTGTTGTGCGATGATGTTGAAGGATCCCGAGGAGAAGGGAAGGGAACACTGGATAATGGAGGAAAGGAGTGATAGGGGATAACGTATCCCTCCAAGAGCACCCTGTGAACCCAGACATTGGCGAGAAAATGTCCCCACAGAAGAATGAAATTCAAGAGATGAGCCCCCAAACCAACCACATAGTCCTGGTACTGCTGTTGGAAAATCATGCGTTGTTGAGTAAATTGTCGAAACGCAGCACTGCAAGAGGCTGGGACAAGAATAGGTTGGTAAGGGGAAGGTCAGAGGTCAAGAATCGGTCTTGACTGCGACAAACGAGCTACCAAATTAGTAATGATAGAATATTGATTGGCCGAGGCTACCAGTGACTTCAAATACTCAGGAACCAAGTCGAAACACATAATGCCACAAAAACGCCATGCAAAGGTCCTTTAGATAAGGAGCCTGGAGAGGGGTCCATGCCAAAATTGCATCACAGCCCAAAAGGTCCCAACAACAAACAAGCCATGTTTGAAGCACGAGAGCCAAAGACAACAGTGAGTCAATGTAGAAGTAAGGATGGAGAAGATTTCAGCAGCAAACCCCTCAGGATTCCTGTGAAGATCCTCTGACAGAAGGTGAAGGAAAGAAAGGTACCTTAACAGGCTTGTGAGGGTGAGACAAAGGCGAGAAAGTTGGGTTTGGGTAAGTTGAACAGGGTAATTGGGGGTTCGCCTCCCAAACAGAGAGAACTGACCCAAACAATTGTTGGTCGAGAAAGGGAGGACTGATCCAAAGTTTATGGGGGACAAGGCATACTAATGCTCTCCCCCAGATGAGAGGCAAATCTGTCCACGTGAACCTAATATTGAGGGACGGGTTGGGAAGTTGTTTGATGTAAAAGGAAAGATCTAGGGCCATAGGAAACAGGTGCAATAGACAAAACATTACATAAAAAGAGATAAAAGTCTGAAAAGACCAATGATGGATGAGCTGAATTATCAGGTAGTGAATGGGAAGAAGCAGCAAACTCCAGGTGGGGGGGGGACAAATGATCAAAGTCGTCTAAAGCCTGACTCGGTCCAAAAGGCTCAGGAAGAAGTAGGGCCAAAGTAGGCGAGTGAGGTTGCCTCATATACTGCTGAATCTCCCGATGGGTTGCCCACACCCGTGGCTGAAAATACGGCATAAAATGCTGGCAAAGTACCCAAAGTGGTGACTGTAACTTCAGAATTCATAAACGGGAAACACGAGGAAGTATTGTTTTATTAAAATATTAGCTCCACAACTGTGAAATGTAATAAATAGTTAAAAATATATAAAAATGAAAAATAAACCACTTCAAGGTAACTGAACAATGTAAAGAAGAACGTCTGAATTCGACAGCTGCCAAACAATAAGTGTTAGCTTGGTAGTAGTGCATAGAGGGAGTAACATCCATCACATGATAGTAATGTTCTCTTATTGGTGGAGAGGTGACACATGATGATTTGCATGAGAGACGTGTTGGAGCTTTGGATTCCAATAAAGGGAGAATGATGTCTTGTGGCATGCATTTCTGAAAAAGTTCGCATATAGAGGGCAGCACAAACATGTAAAGCTAATCTTGTGAGTGGAGGGAGAGTACCTTATCAAAAAATAACTTTATAAAACAAAAAAATCACAAATATACGAGTTTCTATAAAGTTTTAGTCATACATTATAAAAACATATAAAACAGACATATTTAGCTACAAATTACAAACTTCCTTAAAATTACTACAGGCTAAGACTGGATTTGAGGAAGTTATGAAAATTACCTCATTATGTCTGATAGGTGTTAAAAACCTAGGTTTTATAAATACTCTGAATAACTAAGTCAATTTCATTGCTTTTTATGATTCAGTTTTGGAAAACAGTTATTAAAAATCAAAGCAAGACAGTTTTGTATATATGACTATAAATGGTCTTTAAAATTTCTAATGTTTAACTAAATGCTTACTTCTCTGAATATGTGTGATGAATATCTCATTGATAAGTTTGATTTTTGACCTTTAACAAATTAATTTAATTTTTAGTGATATAATGTGGTAGAAAGTTACTGCTTTCAATAGCAGATTATTTCTAGAATTGGAAATTTCCCATCTACTCTATTATAAATGCATCTTCATTTGACTAATACTTCACAGGAGGCTTTATACTAACTTTAAAATTTTCTACACTGGACTCTGATTAAGCTACAATTTTGTATTTATATTTTATTTATATTTCATTTTATTTATTTCTTGTAAATGTAATAAAATATTTTAATGTTTTATATTATATATAAAAAAACCTGGTTTTTGCACTTTAATTATCAATCTAAGAAAACATACATGTGTAACTGTAATTCATATTATGGAAGGCTCAGTAATTTGTATTTCATTTACTTCTGTAAAAACAAAAAATGTTTATGGTTATCAGATAACAAAATCAGTCAGTAAAAGAAATAATATGTAAAACTGTAACTCTCTTAGCTAAGTCACCTAGCTGGCTACCATAACAAAATGCCCTGCATATCTAGAGACTGTAACAGATTTAGAAGAGCCCTTTTGGCTAAATATGATTTTTTTTCCCCAGAAGAAGTTGATTCTGCAAAACAATAATTCTGACCACTTTGATATTATGGGTACTGGTGTACCATAAGTTGTAATTTGCAATATATTGTATTCAATGAATAAATCTACCCTACTTATGCTTTGTTAATTTAGTTGCAGAACAATCTAATTATAAAATCATGTGCCTTTATTTTTTGGAGTAGCTTATTTGATATATCGATGAGTTACATTTTTATTTATAAATCTCTATTCGTACACAGTACATACCAACAAGTTTACATACCAAATACTGGATCTTTCACAATATAATGATAATGATTGCATCTACTTTTGTGCCTAACCTAATGATCATTAATGATTATCAGCAAGTTCAATAACATATTACAATAAAGAACTTTTTTTCTATAAGTTATATGTGGTATAATTATAACTGGTTTGAGAAGGATGCAAAATCAGTGACCTCTGTTTCATTATGCAAGGTTCATATTATAAGAGGCCATGGTAAAAAAAATAAAACAATCAAAAGTACAATGTAACAACATTATTTCACTCTCCCATGCTACTGATAACCACAGTGAATAAAGTATAAATATGTGGTAATTATAACATTTTAGTTAAACTGGAATTAATAACCAAGAAAATATTTAGTTATTGGATAAGTTATAACACAAAATTCAGTTTCAGTTCAATACACATATAGTTTCCAGTTTATTTTTATATGATTGACTTTATAATTACTGCACTAATTCATTCAAATTTCATTGTTTCTGGGTAATTCAGAAAATAGTAATTCAGCAAAAATGTACATATATTCTATTTTTCTAGTTATTTTATTACCTCTAACTCTCTCAGTCTCTTATGATGTTGTAAGCGTTGACCTTCTTCTTGCCCTTTAAGCTCTTGAATACTGTCCTGAATTTTTCGAATTTGTTCTTGTAACCTCTCCGTTTCATTTGTAACTTCATTTACGTAATTAAAAACTGCAAAGTTTTCTTCCTCTACTTCTACAAACTTTTCAACCACAGCATTGATGTCATCTTGATTGGCTATTAACTTTATTCTCTCAAAAACTTCTTTGTAATTTTCCAGTGTTTCTTCTGGACTTTTCTCTCCCCGATCCTTGCTAGATTTTTTAGTTTTACTAAAAGAAATTATAGTGTATAAACAAATAATCCTAAACAAGTGAACATGGTGGCATCTGTTTAATTTTCATTCATTTGCCATACGTTATATTTTAGTATCTAAAATATCATTTAACTATTAATCTTAATAGAGTTATTTTAAAGTAAATATTTCTGCTTGAATATTTCATACAATATAATGAGGAAGAAGAACCTGAATTGAATTTTTACTTTTAGAGGGACACCTACAGTAGCTAATCATTTTATTAGGACATAAGTACTCTTACAGACACAAATTAAGTTGATCACACAATGTGTCAGGTGATCTCTGCTGCCATATAAATGACTTGGATAAGCACATTTGCAGTTAGTCAAACAGATCTGGGGAAAGGCAAATATGTTGCAGCATTCAAAGGAAGCATGACAGTGGGTGCACACAGTGAAGGTGCCACAGTGGCCAAGGTGGTATCAGTAGTAGGCTGCTCCAAGGCATGAGGCATTTAAGTTTATCAACAATGGTGAAAGGTGAATACTTTGTCTGTTATGAAGGGGGAATATAGCAGAAAGCACTTAGTGACAGAAAGAAGGAAAAGATATAAAGTCCAACCTTCATCAAATAATACACCAATTAACAGACATTCAGGGTAGAGCAATCCACACCTATTTCCAGCTGTATCTTTTGAAGATCATTATATAAATCACTGATCTCAGTTACTAATAAGAAAACATGGTGAAAGGAGCTCAAACTTTGAACTAATGAGGAATGTAAAGAAGTTTTGTGTTCTGACAAATCACTCTTTACTCTTTTCTGCACAGATGGAAAAAGAGAGATTTGGAGAAAGCCACATAAATCACTTGACCACTCTTGTGTGGTCCCACTTGTCCATGCCTCTGGTGGTGAAGTCATGATCAGAAGCATGCTTTCCTTGCATATCCTTGGCCCCTTTAGAAGGAAGAATGAATGCCACAGTTTACCTTAGCATCATTTCTACTCATGTGCATCCAGCAGTGCTTCATATGTACCCTGATGGGGATAGCTACTTCCCTGAAGTCACTGCTCTCATCCATCATGTCTAAATTATGCATACATGGTTTGAGGAACATGATGGACATTTCAAGCGTCTTATATGGCCACCACAGTCACAAAGACTCGATTCAGTTGAGCATCTGTGGGATGAACTTGAAAGACACATTCACTATCATGATCCTTTGCCTACCTCACTCCATAAATTGATATTCATGTCTGAATGAGAAAATATCCCTCAGGACACCTTCCAGCATCTTGTGGATCTGATGCCATATCATGTCAAGCTGTTATTCAAGCAAAAGGTGACCCAACACATTATTAGATATAAGTCCAAGTATACCTTAGTAAGTTACAATAAATACATTTAGCTCTTATTTCATGATAGACAGCTACACTGCTAAAATGGTCTTTAAAATTCCCTTTTACATGAATCATTATGGTCCACATGAATAGTTTAATGAGAAAAACAATTATATCTACCAAGAAAAGATCTGTTGTTTTTTAAACAAATCCCCCCTCCAAAGAAACTACACAGGATACAGAACATGTTAAAAAACTGATGAAAATCAGTAAGATAAACAGCATCAGATCCTACCAAACTGAAAATTACATCTCAAAGATATTTATCTACACACAAATAAAAACAACAAGACAATCAAGAGGAATTTCAACAATTTCATTTAATGTCACTATTTACCATAGCATAAAACATAATGATAAAAAGGAAACAAAAATAGAAATTTACAGTACAATCTTTAAGGTAATTGTAAAATCACTACAGGAAGCTGATAGCATTTAGGTATTAATGTAAAGCCTATAATGATGCATAGGTAAAGATGAGGATATACTCCAATAGATTAACATACCAGTACATGAAATACAGATAAAAAATAAGGTTTACATCACCATAAGCAACTTGACAATACTTGAAAATGCATCACCTTTTGAAAGATATTTCTATATGTAGTAATAACCACCAGTCTTAATCAAAACAACCTATAAAGAAAAAGTTAACATTTTCCTTACCTAAAAATGTATTTCAGATAGATACCTATCTCTCTGCACCACTAAATGCTATTTACCTTACATGCAACTGCTGTGGAATTTCCTGGGCATGACACAAGCCGTGGGTAAATTCCACTTGCTCCTAGAATTATGGGAAGGACGTGGAACAACTGTGCTCAACCATGGACGAAAGATGGGACCACTCTGCATTCGGAATTATGAGGAAACAGTGGACAATGTACTAAACCAATATTGATCAATAATAAGGGTCACACTCAACCCAACTGGATAGTTGAGCATCAAATCTGAACCTGTATTACAAGTAGGCTCCTACATTGGCTGGTGCAATTCCTACCATCATCTGGGAAAAAACATCCAGGGACCCAGGTAGGAGGGCCCCCAACTTTGCCCTCTTCTCCAAGGGTGGAGGAATTCACTCTAACACTATAGAGGAAAAGCTTCATCCACCACCCCAGTAACTGGAAACTGGGTGTGGTAAGGACTCCCTAGCTCCATTAGTAGAATCTTGGGGAGGGGGGATGCACATTGGGAAGTCCCGAGGACTAGTGCTCTGGAAACAGTGCAATAGGTGAACCAAGTTCCCTAATTTTTTAAAAGCAAACTGACCCTGATTTATTCAGTCCAAAGATGGGCAGGATCTCCTTATGCTTTACTCATAATAGTCCATGAGTGGCAGTCCAGCATAGTAGAGTAATACCACTAGGTGATCTTATGGAACACCTCATTTCTACAGAGCCTGTTGCAACATATATAAAGTATATTGAATTAGTGGTTGCTAGTGTGGAATTGGGCAACACTTATCACAGAGTGAGATGCTGTGAAAATAAGGTAAAGGACCCTGAAATGTAGCAATGAAAATACTCACCCCTCTGTATATCTAGCATAAATTGTTAAGATAGCTACAGGGATAGGCAAAAATTCTCAGATGAAAATACTGCCAGATCATGCAAATAATATGAGATAATAGTTTTGGGGAGAGGTCCACACAATGTCCTCCAGCAGGCAAATCAACCAGGCTGCTATGGACATACAAATGTGACAAATCTGATTGGACATGACTTGTAGAAAATTCCTCGCCTTCAAAGAGAGCACAGAATAAAAAGTCTGTTGTCTAGCATCTCTTAAGGCATTAATGCAGGCAACAAAACATTCAAGACCTTCACTGAACATGACAACAATCAAAATCTGATTGGTCATAGAAGTGAGAAATAGTAATCAGAAATATCAGTGAAAGGGATTAATCCCTTTTTCTGTCTGAGCGTTTTGGATAAAAATAACTGGCCTGAAGATGTTGGTAGAATGATAAAGTGGTCTGTGGGCATACAGCACAAGCTACTCTTCCCAGCCATGTCTCAAGGTTAGCAACGATGAAAAATAAACCTTCAGTTGGAGGTGATACATGGCGTATGAGAATCAGACACAAATAGGTGTAAAGAAAGGGAACGTAACCTCAATATACCAGGTAGGTAACTGGAATGGTCCTTTGGGACAAAGGACCTGAAGCGACTTGAGTACTGAGGATTCAAAGGATATTTAGTTGCCAGCCCTGTATACAGTGGCCTTATCGACTACCATTTGATACAATTATGGAAGGTGCAAAAACCCTTGCCAAATAGCCAGAGTTATGGTTGGCACTTTTGATTGAAATAGGTTCAACCTCCTCTCAACACATCATTGCCGATATGTGTGTCATTTCTGTTGATAAATGTTTATTTTGGACTAAGCAAAAACTGAGACCCTTAGAAATTAAAAGACTGCATAACCTCTATGTCTGAATCTTGAGTTTCAGGATAGCCAGATATACCATGTCAGATCATGACTGCCTCCAAAGAGATAGCCTAAGAAGAAGTGGACATACCAGAAGGTACTACAGAAGCAGAAACCAGCCAATCTGGTCCTATCAACAGGATCCAATGATGGGTTGAAACAAATCATATTTAGTACCCTGGGTAACATATGAAGTGGAGAGAAGGCCTAGAGTTGTAATACTATCCTGTCCTGATGGAATGCAAATGGAGACCAAATTGCCAGTAGTTGGTGATTCAATGATAGGCCAACCCACCAATCAGAGTTGCAAAATGAGAGCCAATCCAACAAAACCTTGCAATGAAGCACCTGCTCTGTCAGGAGAATGTCTGGATTGAAACAATTGACCTGCTACCAGAGGCATGACCCATGGAGCATGGCAAGCTAGTAGGGTATAAGATCAGAATGGTCCTGAGAAAGGAGGTCTAAATTTCAAAAACAAGGAGCCCTGGACCAAGTGCCTCCTTGATAAGAAATACAAGGCATCAGATAACCTTGATAAGCCCAGACCATGAGGCATTGCCTTTTGAAGAACAAGAAGGACTTTAACATGGCGTAGGGAAGCCTCTTTGTCCGTGCATAGACCATGGAATTCCTAACTTTTGATATATGCACCCCATTATTGAAGCAAGGCATTCGTGAAGAGATGGAACTCTGGAAGACGAGCGGTAGAGGAACCCATATTGTAGTAGTGTCCCGATTCAACAACTCCTCGAAATTGAAGAATGATCACGAATAAGGAAACCGGGGAATCCAGTTAATCAATATTTATTATCTATTGGTTGCATAAAGCCATTAAAAAGATCTCTTGTACTCTCATCCCAAATACATGAGGGAATCAAGTGATGCCCACATTTCCAGAAGAGAAAGAACCATCTGTGCAGTGGGAGAAGGAGAGATGAATAAGAGTCTGGTGTCCTATTCCATAGCCTTGAGCAGGATGGGAGTCAGTTGAGTCTGACAGAGAGATGAGATGAAAAATAAAAAATACCCAGATGGATGACATATTGAATTAGAGCAAGAATGGATGTCTCAGCCCTAAAAATGAAGCCTGCCTTGGTTGTTTCTGAAAGTAGAATCAGGATGTGATGTTCTGACAACTGACGAGATGGTGCCAGCAGTAACCAGTTGTCCATGAAATGGTGTGTGCACAGTGTGACC